TGTTGTCATAAACTGACTTTTTATCCAGTTTTAAGTCACATTTTCTTACGATACACTTTTTTAGATCTTGGTCGTTTTTAACCAGATGAAGGGTTTTAATCATCAGACGTCTCGATCTTAAGTTATCAGAGAAACAAACTGAGCTAATGTTAGCAGCAGCCGCTCCAGGACATCATTTGTCTGCCCGAACAACGTCACAGAAACACAGATTTTAAAGGTGAAACTGCTTAATTATGTGGGTTTTTTTGCAGGTTTATTAATTCGGCTCCTGGTAGAAACCTGAGCGATGAATCTGAACCGGGAGAGTCTGACTGCAGCGACAACAATGGTGGTGAAGACAACAACTCCCATGATCCCTCACTACTTCACAACGTCTCCACACAACGAAATCACATATTGCACATTTAATTTACACACTATTAACATTATTGTAACACAGGAATAAACCACATTCATTAAGTGTTAATAGAATAACACTTAATCAGAGATCAGTAATTAACCTTCAGTCTCAACCTTCAGTGCTAACACTGTTCTCCACCTGCAGAAGAAGACCATGTGATGCAACTGAAAGCTCACACACAGCTGCTAAATGAACCCCGCGGGGAGATTATTCAGTCAACAACTGTTTCTCAAAGTCAAGAAAATAACTTTCAAAGTGTTTTTCAAAGGTTTTGGATTCATTCACGAGTGTCAGTTTTGAGTCTCTGAACGCCATCTCTTTCCTTCAGACGTCAATCAGTGGTTAACTAACACGTAAAAACCAAACATTATAATCATATTGCATCTTCTCGCTCCACCCTCGTCTTACTCCCACCTCTTTCCTTTCTCTCTCTCTCTCGCTCTCTTTTTCTCTCTCTCTCTCTCTCTCTCTGATGTGCTGTCTCTCTCTCTCTTTTTTATATTTTTTCTCACGTCAGCAAACCTCAGCAGAGACACAGGCAGCCAAGAGCTGTGGGGTCGGAGGTGCAGCATAAATTACAGCACTGACACACACACACACTAACAAACACCCCCCACCCTCTCTCTCTCTCTCTCTCTCTCACACACATTTTCTCACACTTGCACCACACAGCTGCTGCACAGCTGTCTGATCCACGAGGAGAGAGAAAAAGCAGTAATTCGGTCGCCTACGTCTCTGATATGTATCTCTGACACTGACACACACACACACACACACACACACACTGGCTCCTTTAAAGTACCCACACACTCAGACACTGCGAGAGGGGGGAAGCTTTTATTCACTCATGAAACAACCACAGAACTTTTTGTTGTCTCATTTACAGCTTTCAAAAACACAAAAAAAAAACTACATAAAAGAAAAAAATAAATAAACTATTATCCTCAAAGCTTTAATCTATTATAGGAACAGTTTTAACATTTTGGAAAATATGCTTTATGTGCTTTCACGCTGAGAGTTGGACGAGAAGACCGACACCACTCACTGTATGGTGAATACAGCTGGTTAGCTTAGCTTAGCATAAAGACTGGAAACAGGGGGAAACTGCTAGCCTGGCTCTGCCTATACCAGCAAGCCTCTAAAGCTGGCTAATTAAGTTAAAGCTTGTTAATCCGTGCAAGAACCAAAGTTTAAACGCATCAGTGAGCCGTTTCATGGGGGGAAGCAGTTGCCAGGCAACCGCCAGAGACTCCTGGAAGTTTAATTCAACATTTCCAGGACAACATTGATTATTTCCAGGATATTAGCTCATTTAAATCAATTTCCAACTGTTTTCCACGACTGGAAATCTCGTCGTCTTAACCCATCCAGGTTTTTTTTTTTTTCCAGGACGTGTGGGAACCCGGATGATACTGTATTTTCCATCGGTGCTCGAGAATTTAAGAGCCAGAATCGAGGAACAATACGAGCACACTCTGTCTGTGTGAGAGGAGACGAAGACCGGACAATGAGAATCTTTGTGATAGAAGAAAAGAAGAGGCTGTTTGCAAGTCTCTGAGGCCCCTCTGAATCAGTCACATACAATGTTACGCAAAGTAAAACACACAGCATACTGTTCCTACAGCGGGAACACGCTGTCGGACACCTCCAAACGTCTTCTGGGCAATTATTAATGACCTGAATGTAGTTTGGAGCTCGGTTATAAAGCCTGTAGGTGACACAGATGACTTCATGCTGCCTTTAGAAGCTTTAAAATGAATATTTCAGTACAATTACGAGGTTAGTAGGAGCCTTAATGCTACAAATCAATGTTTTACATAATATATTAATATATTTATATGTATCAGAGGATCACCTATGTCATTGATTTTGTCCTCTGGGGCCACGAATATCATCACAATCCTGCTATCTTTGCTCCAAACTACCAACCGATGCATTCAGGGAACATATTCCTCCATCATAACTGATCGTGACGTGCAGTTTATTCAGAGATGTGTCACTTCCAGTCAGTTTTGAAAGCGACCCACCCTCTGAATCCACTTCCCGAATGTGTACAGACTCACCAAGGTTTCCAGATGGTCATGGTGTCATTCAGTGTCATTATAATCACATGTATTAGCCTGATTTCATTGCTCCTGAAGCTCCTGATGTGGCTGATTCAGACAAACGTTTCTGTTCAGCAACTTTCAGGTAGCTTAGATACAAAGACGTACTGATAATCAGGTTGATCATGCATACAAAATACAGCTCATGTGACTAGAGTGTGACCACAAACGGAGAACAATAACTAGAGTCACATCTAAGTGTTTCGCCGACAGGGATGTTCCAGCTTTGCCTGAATAAGCAATAAATGGATCCAAGCCAGCTCCTGACTGCGCAGGAAGGTGATCAGACCACTGCTCACGAGGAGGGCTCTCGCTGTCCGACCACACAAAAACCTGTGATAAAACGCCAAAAGCAGCACAGATCTCAATCCAGTCTGAGCTGGATGCTGCCTCCACGGGAGACACACATGCACCGAATTAACCACAGAAGTTGCACATCAGATTTCTGAGATATGACAGCACAAAGGTGGAGGCAGTTTATGGAGGAATTCAGATCTTTTACTGAAGTTAAAGGAGCTACATTTGAGTATAAGTAGAGGTTTGTGTGCACAAGATACGACTGTGTTATTATCTTGTGTAACAGGATAAAGATATTTCAGGACTTCCTGTCAGTTTTGCTGCAGGACAAGTTACCTCTGTATTATTTGGGTGAGTTGATGTAATTCCCAGCATAACTCTAACCTGAGCAGCCACGTCACTGACTAACACCTGTGTGGGAACGCACTGCGTGAAGTAATCCATCATACTTCATGAGCTGATCGTGTGTTTCACAGTCAGCTGTGGGATAAAACACAGTGGAGTGGAAGTATAAAGTCACATGAACTGGGAAATACAGGCTGTCTTCATCCCTCACACCCCTCATCATACAGGTATGCAGGCGGTTTCATGTGTACCTGCAGCCCTCCTTCGTGCCCCCGGAGGTGGATTAGGTTTGTGCATTCCAGGTAGTTTGTCGGTTCAGCTGGGGGAGAAGATCCAAACTGCGCAGCCTCTCCTGCTCAGCCCCCCAGGCCACGAGGCGCTCACCCAACCAGGTGGATGCAGCACCACCTGCCTGAGAGTCCGGTCTGGTTGGAACAAACCACACTGGATTTCAGATTGAGCTCATTGCAACTGTTATTCTGCTACAACGCTTGCAAAAATATATTGTATTTAGGTGTTTTTTTAAAGGTTAACTTAAGGAAGGATGCTATATTTGAACTAGAGTCTTGTCTGAGGGTCACAGGTCTTTATCTTCACTTATAGAGACAAACTATTCAACTGTACAGGTCAAAGTTATTACAGTTAACTCAAATTAAACTAAAAACTAAAACTATGTATGAAAAAAAACTGAAAGAAAAATAAAAAGTAGACTTTTAAAAAAAGAGGAAATGTCTAGTTTTAGTCTTTGTCAATTTGGTAAAATCTGTCAACACAACAACTTCAGGAGGCGTTTGTGCTTCAGTTTATTGGGACTTTGATACGTGACTGTGAGTCAGTGTGTATAAAGACAAATACTACTGAAACTAATACGAACTAAACATGTTTAAAGGATAAAAGCTGATCTAAAATTAGCAAAATCATAACAACTCCACTACAAGTCAGTGGTTTCCAGCTTTTTTTGACCCTTCAGTCTGAATCTGCTCTCACAGGCTGCAGTTGGCACCTGAGTGTCTGACGAGGACAAACTGAGCTTCAAGGTTCATTATAGACCTTAAATATAGAGAAAGTTTAACTTAACAGGTCCACTTACAGCATATCAGAAGAGTCGTGTAACAACTTCATTACGTAATAAAACGGCATGAACAGCAATATGAAATACATTTCCTTGTGTTTTGTAATAATTGATTACGTGTTGCAACTTCAGTGCAACTCCAACATTTTGTAAAAGCCACAACATGTAAGAACTTATTACAAAATGTGGGAAACTTTATTTCATATCGCGATCAGGATGCAGCAAATTTTGGTGTTTTTTACATAATTAATTTAAAAACTTTTACATTTTGTTGATTTATTACATAATGTGTCAGAAAATGGAGAAAAACGTGGATAGAAAATGTTTGTTTTGGTATAAGTGAATATATCTAATTTATATAAGGATAAAAAAGTCTTAAATGTACAGCAGCACTGATTTAGAGACAAATTAGTTTGTGTATTTGAATTACTGTTGAAATGTTTAGTCAGGATTGTATTTTTCTATTTTATTTATGTTATTTAATGTTTATTTCTTTGTTCTTACGTGCTGTGTTTTATCTGGAGCTGCTGTAACCAGTGTGGGATCAATAAAGTCTATTTTATCTTGTAACTCTTCATCAGAGCTGTTGTTTTGAGACTTTACATGAGCAGAATATATGAAGTTGAAGAGCTGCTGTCTCCCACAGAGGACTCTCCACACAGGCTCAGTTGTTGTCACGAACAGCTGACTCCACCTGTGTGTGACCACTAGAGTCTGGTTGGATTCACAGAAACAAAACGTCCCCGCGTGATCCAAGTGAAGCACTTAATAACTCGAACCATTTACTTATTCTCCCTTTTTATTCACGTACAGTACCTTCAATTCTGGACAGATTACATTCAAGAATATCAAAAGGAAATGCCAAAAGAGTGAATTCCCTCACGAACCCAAAGAGCACAGAGAAATGCGTCGGGACGTTCAGTACGTATACCTCTGTTAAAAATCTGCCAGCACATATTAAACATGCAAAACATTATAGACTAAAAGTACAGCAGTGTGACTTCTACTCTATAACATGTGCATGATGTTAACACATGAACAGGGCCGAGCTATTTACATTTAATCCAAAAAAATGTAGTGCCTCTTAACCACTTAATCTCTCTTTAATGTTGTTTATACATATTAACATGTACAGTATTATGCTTTAGTGGGAAGAATGGGACCGTTTCTCCAACATCCTTGAAATCACACACACACGCACACGCACAGAAAACACACCAGTCGTTGTTTGAAAGCACTCTACACTCTACGTCACCATAAATAAAACAATTACAAAAATATACCTCACTTCAAACAGAGCCATAGCAGGAAAAAAGCGCTTACAGCCATCGTGGAATGATAAAAAACAAACAAGAAAACAACAACAACAAACACATATCAGCCTGTAAGAATGAGATGGAGGAAAAATAAGAGTTTAAAAGAAGTGGAATTACAACGAAAGACGGAAGTTTTAATGGGAATGTTTGTGACGGAGTGGTAGTCCGGGTGGAGGGGGGTCGATGTCCTCTGAAGTCAAACGTCTCCCTCGTTTCTTTCTTTCTCTTTGTTTTTGTAGAAGCCGACGTAGGAAGATGTGTTGAGATTAGTAAACATCGGAGATACAGGAATACAGAGGGAGAGGAGGAGGGAGAGGGGGGTTAAAAACTCCAAGTCCATGTTGGATTAGTAGTGTGTTTACATTCACAGGTATATCCCATCGTACTAAGGCTCAGGAGGGTGCAATGTGTCAGTGTATGTGTGCGTGCTGCTGCTGCTGCTCCTCCTGAGTGGCAGAAGACTAGAAGCGAAGCTATTTCTTCTTGGAGTTGACGCTCTTGCAGACCCAGTTCATTCCCTCCTGAAAGGTTCAAACAGAAGCACGGTGAGAAAGAAGAGAACGACGCCACAACGAGAAGAGAGACGAGTAAAAAAAACAGCTCACCTGGATCCCCTCGCCGGTGAGGGCGGAGCAGGACTGGATCTGCCACATGCGATCCCGGATGGTGTGCAGGTTGAGACCCTCGGCGATCTCGGAGGCCGGCGCGGCCGTGAGGAGGTCCTGCTTGTTTGCAAAGATCAGCACCGGAACGCCGCTCAGCTTCTCTTCGTCCAACAACTCAGCCAGCTCCTGCAAACGCACACAAACACCTACTGATTACACATACAGACACAAATACTGACCTGCTAAAATCCTTCAATACGTCATCATTAGACCTCTGTGTTCATCTTAATCATCTTATTATTATTATTAATAGAAACGTAATAACTCACCACAACAGTCTTTAAAAGGAAAATGTTCTCATACTGTAATTTAATAGTCAGCAATCAGAGAAGTTAAAGTCTTACTTATGAAGACTTAAAAACGTCTCTGATTCAAAATGAAACAATTATTTAAATATAAAACATTATTCTGAAACCACTTTAATAATTAATTCATTATTTAAGTTATTTCTTCGACTTCCAGCTCCTCAAACGTGAATATTTTCTGGTTTTCTGAGTCTTCTATGATAAAACAGGGAATCAAATGATTAAACAATTAAGAAAATAATCAAAGACGGAAGACGAAACAACACATATTGAACGTACCTGACCCGTTTCCTCAAATCTCTTCCTGTCGGCGCTGTCGATGACGTAAATCTGAAACAAGAATGGAAGTTTTTCCTCGTCAACGTGTTACGATGAACGCATTGAAACTGCGCCGCCGCTCTGAGCTTCACTCACCAGAACATCTGTGTTCTCAAAGTAGTTCCTCCAGTACGGCCGGATCTTCCTCTGACCTCCAATGTCCCAAACGTTCAGTTTAAAGCCCTGAGACTGAACGCTCTTAATGTTGAAGCCCTGCAGGAGACACAGACATCAGAGTGTGTGTGT